CCTTCATTTGATTATTCTATTCAGTAACATTCCCTAGGTTATAACACCTTTATTCCGCCTTTTATAATTTGGGAAAATTGTGAACATTCTTCTCGATAGATTAAATGGAATATTTTAGGTGGCTTGAAGTGAATAAAAGTTATTGTATAGAAACTGTTAGTTTGTGGTGAATACCTGTTTCCATGTTTGTGTTTTTTTTTAGAATGCCCAGTAATAAAACATGGTCTTCTCTGTCTTCCAGTGTGAATTCGATATTATTATTGATGCTGTTAATTAGAGTCTTAAATTCATTGAAACGGTTGTATGTGTGTCCATAGAATAAGACTAACGTTCCCGGTCGTCTAGCAAATATTAGTAGAAGTTCAAGCCGTATTTTAATTTAGGTTGTTCATAAATCTGGGCCAACAGGTTTCAAATGAATAAAAAAAATGTTTTGTAGAATGAATTTTAGTCGCTCACAGATGAAATATTTAAAAAAATTCTTTCCGGGATCTTATTGGAGAAATTTTCGATCCAGAATCTTATTGCCTCTAATACATAAGAGTACAGGATCGTGATGTAAAGGTTTATTACACCAAAAGGTACAATAATAATGTCTCTGTCAACGGGTTTGGGGAGGTGTTTTAAGAGGTCGAGGCCATCTTTTACAAGACTTGGTATGTTCAAGGATTGGTTTCATTGACATGTCTATAAAATTACTTAGTCTAGACGTCTCCCAATTTGGACCTGCTAAAATTGATCTTAATTTAAGATCCTTGGGATTTTGTATGTTTATGCAGGTTGAAGTGAATTTTTGACAGGCATCGTTAATCAAGTGTTTCACAATTGAGACCCGTTAAAATTCTTTTTAATTTAATGTCCTTAGGTTTTTGCATGTTTATACCGGTTGAAAGAGATTCTTTACAGGCATCGTTAATCAAGTGTTTCACTATTTGTGCCCGCTACATTTGGTATTAATTTAAGGTCGTTGGAATTTTGTTTATTTATGCATGTTGAAGTGAATTTTTTACAAGCATCGTATATTAGGATTGTTGGTTCCACATGCAAAATGTGTTAAATAGTCACATCCCTTTTTTTGTTAAGCCTTTTCGATGTTGACAAATGAGTCTGTTTAGTCTGTTCATCGTTTCTGATTGCACGTAGTTGTTTACCTTTTCGTAATCGGTATTGTCATGTGGGTAAGTAGACGCATTACCTTTGTAGTGATCAACAGCCATAATGTCAATATTAGTTACTTAGTGGGTCTTGGCATTGGGTTAAAGACTGTACATATCATGCTAAATCTTGACTATCATGTAAAAAATTTGGTCACAAAAGTTCTCACTGTTGCTAACACTTTCTACCTTTTCTGTATATATTCCTGTTTGTAATATATCTGTGTTATTCCATACCTGTGTTCGAGTTCTTCTTTATTGGTTCTACCTTGGACTATCACCGTGATACAAGGAACCGGACCATAACAGGTTGAAGTGATTTTTTTTACAGTCATCGTTAATCAAGCCTTTCACAATTTAGACTCGCTAAAAATGATCTTAATTTAAAGTCTTTGGGATTTTGTATGTTTATGCATGTTGAAGTGAATTTTTTACAGGCATCTCTTAGGATTGTTGGTTCCACATGCAAAATATGTTAAATAGTCAGACCCCTTTTTTTTGCTAAGCCTTTTTGATGTTGACAAACGAGTGTGTTTACTCTGTTCATCGTTTCTGGTTACTCGTAGTTGTTTACCTTTTCGTAATCGGTATTGTCATGTCGGTGAGTAGACCTATTACCTTTGTAGTGATGAACATCCTTAATGTCAACAGAAGTTCCTTCACACACTTCCTTAATTATGATGTCATTATTGTCTTTTAAATAATGAATAAATTCCAATTCTTTTCGACTAGAGTTGAATCTAGGTTTAGGATGTGGCTGTTCATCGTAGGAGGAAGATGATATGTGATTACAAAATTGGTCTAAAACTCTGTTCCTACCTTTTGCAAATTTGTAGCTGCTTTTGTTTATTACAACTGATTCGCCACTTTTATCCCTGTCCAAAAATTCTTCTTTTACACATCGTTTCTACAGAAATGCGAAATATCTGCCCTGTATATCATAGGGGTTAGAGTATTGTAGTGATATATTTAGTATATATTTAACGATATTTTATACTTTTCTGCCAATATATATATATATATATATATATATTGGCAGAAAGATATATTACACTAAGATATGTAATCCGGTGTTCTTATTGATATTTTTATTTTTACAAAGCAGTGCTCAATGTAAATTTACAGAGCATAAATATTATAAACTAACTGATTTAAAATATGTTTTCTTCGCTACACACGAATTACCATGTTTCAAAATCTGAAGCCAAAAACTTCAAATTCAATTATATTAAATTAAAAGCATTAGTTCTGTTTCATCTTCAACCGAATTTTGGAAACTTGAATTTAAGCTAATATATATATATATATATATATATTAACTGATTTAAAATATTGTTTTTTAACTGATTTTTTTAGATAAGTCTTTACTGACTTGTTCTTTGGTTGCTGAACAATAATCCACTTGATTACTCGAACAGACTTGACTTCACTTGTCTAGAGAATAAGCTTTTTCCACACGACGAACACACTTGTTCTTTATCTTCAATTCTCTTAGACAAATATTCTTGACTGGTCTTTTATGACTGTTTTCCTTGTCAGAGCAACAACAGGTTTTCTTCAAGCAGGTTTCCTTTTCGTCGCAAGACAAGACGACTTATCGTCTCCACACTGCGGCGCCCTTTTTCTTGCTACTACTGACTAGATTCCTCTAATCTAGTCGAAAACAAGCGGGAAAATCACGTACGACCAATCGTTAGACACGATTTCGCCACGAGACACAGCAGCAGCAGTTCTTACACTGCACACAGGGGGAAAAGGAGAGGAGAAAGGAAAGTAAGAGAGATAGAAAGATAGATACAGAAATTAAATTTCTGACACTACCTCACAATAGGTAGGGAGTAGATACGGTAAGCAACAATAAACTACAGAAGAAATCAAAATTGATCGCTGGATTTAAGTATTGCATTAATATTTAAGCTTACCTTTTAAAAGCTCAACGATAATTCATCTGCCTCTAATTAATTTAAATACAATTGATGTACGTAGGTCCCTACTTTCAGTACAAATAATTATTTTTATTTCATGGATGACTTCGCTGGATTTCGTTATTAATTTCGATTATTCCCATACTTATTTCTGATATATATATATATATATATATATATATATATATATATATATATATATATATATATATATAAAATGTTATCGTCCCCCAAAAAAAAAAAAAATGTCGCAAAAAATCCCGTAAAAACATCACTGAAAACAATAGCAGTAGTAATAACATTTTTTTTTAACCATGTATAATAATTTACTCCTATTTAAAGCACAAAACAACTATTTTGGGGGCACATTTAAAAATTACCAGAACTGTATTTTTTTTTATTTATTTTGTTGTTTTAGGAGTTGTATCCGTTAACAATAACACATTTCAAAGAAAACATATTTCTGTTCGCATTTAATTTTGTTTCTCTCGGATGCTAACTGAATTTTACCAATAAACAAAATAATTTCCATGCCTGAAGATGACAGAATGTACAGTTGAAAGTACTTGCGTCATAAAGAAATACCTTATAGAGATTTTAATTTTTAAAATCAAGGATCGTAACATTCATCGAGTGATTTGTGGGTTAATGCACCTTTAAAATTTTGTTTGCGAAGGGATTTCGCCATTTTATATCATTAACCTTACTAATGTACTTTTTGTATGAATGATTCATTGTAATATAAATTGAACTGCAACACATATTTGATATATACATATATATATATATATATATATATATATATAATTTATATATAATTTGGGGGATCTAGGCAAATTATTATAGTAATTCATCAAGTCTAGAAAAATCCTCAACAGAATGCAGAAAGCACGAGACGGTCGTTTTGTCCTATATTTGAGATTCATCAGCAGTGCGCATCCATTACCGAGATTCGAAACCGGACCGTTTCGATACAACGCAAGCTTCACACTAACTGCACCAACGAAGAAGAAACTGATTAAATTCGATATAGCGCCTCTGCTCACAAATTTCATGGTGATACTCATCCAAGTATTCATAACACAAGGGATTGTGGCTCTTGGGGCACAATCTTTCCTTCCCCACTCACAAACTGCTCCATTTAAACTATAAAAAAAAATCCCGCGAAAAATAGTGGGTCGTGTTATACTACAGGTATAAAAGGAGAACCTTGAAACCTGTGGTTTATGGCAAGTTGCTGGTAGGATTGGAGATGCTTGATGGTAGGCTAACATCTGCCTCGCCAATTTTTCGATCAGGTTGAGCTGAAACACAAGTGGTCACGTGTTAAAAGGCCGCAATCGAGAACAGTGCAACGAGTTGATGGTCGGCGGGGAAAAGTCATTCAGGCAAACCTTAATAGCCTGCTGAAAACACAGCACCCACTCACGAACTATTATACTGCATACGATGGATAAATTGTCGTCTAAATGAGGCAAAAATGAAAATAACAATTCAATCTTAATTTTAACAGACATATCTACCAAAATTACACAAAAATATTTTGAAATACTAAAGAGTAAATTCCTACGATAAAATCTCTATGGGCTTCAACCACAGCCTCCAGATGACTTCAGAATCTCCTGCAAAATTTCTGTTTAATTTGATGAATGCTAATAATCCTTGTGTTCAGTTTATCTTTGGTATTACTATGAGTTTTGTTGGTCTCTTGCTCAACTACACCCCACACATAATAATCAAGGGGGTTGCAGTCTGGGGAGTTAGGTGGCCAGATGTAAAATGGATGCAGCTTATATTTATATATCAGGTTATTTAAAGCCAGAAAATATTTTAGATTGCAAGAATTGTTCTTTTCTTTCCTCTACGGGTTATTTTTCTTTTCTTTCTCTATAGGTTATTTAGCTTTTCTTTCCTTTCCTCTATGGGTGATTTTTCTTTTCTTTCTTATATGGGTGATTTTTCTTTTTTGTCCTCTACGAGTTATTCTTTTCCTTCAACTACGGGTTATTTTTCTTTTCTTTCCTTTACTCTATGGGTGATTTTTCCAGTCTTTCTTCTAAGGGTTATTTCTTTCTTGTATGGGTCATTTTTATTTTCTTTCCACTATGGGTTATTTTTCTTTTCTTTCCTCTACGGGTTATTTTTCTTTTCTATTCACTATGGGTGATTTTTCTTTTCTTTACTGTATGGGTTATTTTTTTTCTTCTTTCCTGTATGGGTCATTTTTCTTTTCTTTTCTCTACGGGTTATTTTTTCTTTTCTATCCACTATGGGGGATTTTTCTTTTCTTTCCTTTATGGGTTATTTTTCTTTTCTTTCCTTTATGGGTTATTTTTCTTTTCTTTCCTCTATGGTTTATTTTTTTTACTTCACTCTATGGGTTATTTTTCTTTTTTTTTTTCTCTATGGGTTATTTTTCTTTTCATTCCTATACGCGTAGTGTTTTATTATTTTCCTCTATGGGTTATTTTTGTTTACTTCCCTCCATGAGTTATTTTTCTTTTCTTTCCGCGATGGGTTATTTTTCTTTTCATATCTCTATGGGTTATTTTTGTTTTTCTTTCCTCTATGTGTTATTTATCTTTTTCCTCATCTTTGGGTTAATTTTCTTTTTTTCCTTTCCTCTACGGGTCATTTTTCTTTTCTTTAAAGCTGAAATTTAAACATTTTTTTAATTTTTGGAGATAATAATGGTTTAGTGACACAAGTCTTACTAATTAACCCATAGCTGGAGAGTGAAGAGGTGATTCATACCATTTCCAAAGGGTATTTGTGTATAAGTGAATATAACAAATACAAGGGGAAGCTCTCTGATTAACAATTCCAAACCATTATTCATTATACCAGCCACACATCCAACCTTACAGCATTTGGTATTCCCAAGTGATCAACTATCTAGGTACTGATCAGGCTCGGCATTGCTTAACTTAGGTGACTGTACAGAAGGCAGTGTTTTAATGTAATGTGGCTGTAAGCCAAAACAAGTGGGTAGCATCCAGTGAGGTAGAACTCATTACAGCAATAACTCTCAACAGGACTATCTTTCTGTTTATTGTCATTATGTTGAGGTGTTTATGTCTATACAACCCTTTGTACTCTGGTATAAAGTTGCACTCCTGCATCAGAAACTGGAAGATTTCTGCAAGAAATATTAATACAATTAGAAGAAGTGTCCCCATTGTACTGCTTTCATTTAAGGCAGAAGTAAATGCTTGAAATGTGGAGGATTTTCATATTGCAATCTTTAACAAGATGATACAAAGCATAGAAATTTCGGAATCTCCTGCACCTCTTCTTGTTTAAGTTTTATTTTGAATCATAATTTGCCACTTAACATTAGCGAGATTAGAAAAATATATAATTTGAAATATAGCCTTTGAAATAAGATTTAATATTCTAGAACATTTATTTTAAGAGTGGCAGGATGTAAGGAATATTTATTTGATGCCTGGTCTCAAATTTAATCTTCAGGTGTGTTTTGTTAAGAGTCTATTTGTTCGTCTACTGATATCAAAAGTCAAACTTAGTTTCATCCATCTGTGTTTCTGTATAGAAAACTGTGATTAATGTTTGACCTCTTTAGATTCTTTCCATGTCGCAAGAAGTACAAAAAGATTTTATTTTAATTTTTAAAAAAATTATTTTTAAGAAAAGCCTATAAATGCTAATAAGATTTATTCACAAATTATTTATTAACATATATCATGACTTTAAAAAATCCTAGAGAATTTAAATACAAAGTAAAGCATTTAATCAGATTAGTTGTTAGTTGTGCATCACTGAAGGAAAATTGATTCTGTCAGTTAAATTTGAAATGCTAAAAAGAAACTAAAAGGCATATCTTCATTTTATTTTGAGTCATATTAAAAGATTTTTGTAGATGTGTGGGCGGTGTAATTAATAATGGCTTGGAATGAGAAATTGGAGACCAGAGTTCGTTGCATTCACTTAATAAAGAAACTTAATGAAAATGTGCCCTCCAGCAGGATTCGAACCTAGGAACATTGTCTTTATTAAGTTTTCTTGAGTATCCAGACCAGTAGACAAAATAAACACTGTTTAAAATAAACAGAACGTCTACTCAAATATGGATATCCATTGACAATAACATTTGAAGTAATAAAGAAATGTGCTGGATTAAAAAATAAAATCTGTTAATTCTTTAGAAATTCACTTATGTGCAAATACCTTGTGAAAGGTATGAATGCATATTCTCTCCCAGTTATGGGTTAATTAGTAAAACTTGTATCTGGTAAAATAATTGTTATTCTCAAAAAACTGTTAATGCCTTATTTACTCTCAAAAAAAAAGTGCGATGGATAAATTGTCATCTAAATTACACAAATTTGAAAATAACACTGGCATCTCATTTTAACAGATATATTTACCAAAATTACTTAAAAATATCTTGAAATACCAGAGTAAATTGGATTCACTCGCGGCCTTCAGATGACTTCAGAATCTCTTGAAACTCTTCTGGACGGTCTCTTTGTTTAAGTTGATGAATGCCGCCATAATCCTTGCCTTCAGTTCATATTTGGTGTTACAAAAAGTTTTGTTGGTCTCTCGTTCAACTGTGCCCCACATAATAATCAAGGAGGTTGCAGTCTGGGGAGTTAGGTGACCAGGTGTAAGGGGTGATGTGGTCGTAGAAATTGTCTGACAGCCATGTCTGGCTAGTCCTGCTTGTGTGACATGGTGTAGAGTCTTGTTGCTAAAAACGAGGGCATTTATAATAAAACTTAAGGGTAATCAATAATAATTAGACCAAGCAAGTACAGTCTCTCGAGAAAGAAGTTGAGCAACATGCTCCATAAGTTTTCTATGGGGTTGAGGTCAGGAGATTGGGGCGGCCATGTCATAACAATCACCTGCTTCTTATCAAAGTATTCCTTCATCAATTTTTATTTGTGACAGGGAGCATTATCCTGCATAAAAATGAGCTTGGTGGGGTCGATTTGCACCCTTTCAGCAGAAGGGAGCAGACAAGACTCTAAAATTCTCTTGTACTGCTCGCTCCTGAGGGTCTTTTCAATAGGTTTTAAGAAACCAGTTCCATGAAAAGAAAAGCATCCCCAGAACGTTATACTGAACGGATGCTTGACTTACTGCTAAATTCAAAGAGCTTTTATAGCTTCTTCTTCAGATTTTAGATTTTTAGATCGCTTATCCTTTGAATTTAGCTGAACTTTCGTTTCATCGGAGAAGAGAACATTTAGCAAAAAAAAAAAAAAAAAAAAAAAAATCAGGCGAGTCACTTTTATCGAACGGCACTGTATATGTGAAAATTTTCCGTCTGCTTTGCATTACTAACCTTAGAGAGAAAAAAGGGGGGCGCAAACTAAAAACGAAGGCATTTATAATAGAACTTAAGTGTAATCAAGAGTAATTAGACCAAGCAAGTAAAATCATCTACAAGTTACAATATATATATATATATATATATATATATATATATATATATATATATATATATATATATATATATATATATATATATATAGATAGATAGATAAAGTTCGAATCCGGGTTGAATCCATTACACTCACTTACGTGCTAATACCCTTGGGAAAGGTGTGAATCCTCATCTTCTCCCTCCAGCTATGGGTAAAATAGACTGGGTTCTATAGCCTTCGATGGCAACTGGTCTAGGAGAAGGACAACTCTGAATTTAAAACCTGAGGGGAGTCATTTAGGAACCTTGTGGCATTCGGTGCACCAGGTCTCTGTATTCGGCCCTTCAAAAAGTATGGATGGTCCTGCACGAAACCTTCACCACTATAATCAAATCTCATGTGCTGTTGTCGGGCTGTCGGTTTCCTAGGAACTGATCTGCTTGACCCTCATACGTCGAACCCGACGGGGGAATCGATTTTCAATATATATATATATATATGAATTATTGAATTTTCGAAATCTTCAGGGTGTTGCCAGTACTTAAAAGCCTTTATATAAAAGTTTTACGCACGTGGAAATTTTTATTTAGTTGAACAATTGCTTTTACAGGCACCCAAAATTTACGACCGACATTATGGCAGCTTTCCAGCCAATGTTTGAACATTTAGATAAATCATTCGGCCAATGAGAAAACATTGTAACCGCCAAGCGTTGTGCGCCGATACGCTCGTTCGCACTCGCGTAGAATGTGTAAATTAAACAGCCCGAAGAAAAAAAAAAAAAAAAAAAGAAGACATTAAAATGTTTCTAATTGCTGATGGCTGATTGGAGCGATATCGAGGAGGATCGATCACTCATTGTCAGAAGTCATTTGTGAAAAAAAAACTAAAATAAAAAAAGAAGCAATAACCACGTTCTCAATAGAAAGAAGGAAACAAAATCTTATTTTCTTTGCCTTCTAAGTCACCCGACTTATTACACGACGTGTAAATACGTCTCTAAAGGAAAAGTCCATTGAATTTTTTTTTTCTAAAACGATCTTTTTTCCTATTAGAAAATCGACAGTTCTCTAGTCGTAAAAAAAACCAAAGTGGCAATTCCAATATTTATTGCAGCAAGAATTCTGATCAACAGATTGGAAATTTTGTGGAGAGTGGAACCAATATTTAAGTGCCCTTTACCCCAGGTACCCACTTACCCGGGGTGGTGGTACCTTTTAGAGTCCCAGCTATGAGTAAATTTGAACCTTCAAACACTATGAATGTAAAAAACTAGATTTTTATGGCAAAATATCAGCAATACATTATTATATAAAATAAATTACCAACGCTCTAAATTTATGTGGGAAGATAGCAGCTAGGATTGAGAAATCGGAGAGCCGAGTTCGAATTCCAGTCAAATCCATAACACTCACTCACGTGCTAATACTCTTGGGAAAGTTATGATTCCTCTTCTTCTCCCCCTAGCTATGGATAAACAGCAGGACAGACCGGTTTCTATAGCCTTTGATGGCAACTGGTCTATCGCCGAAAGAAATGGGAACTTACTGCGGGAAAAAAATCTGCCCTGTCAGTCATGTATCGAAAGATACATGATCGCCTAAGCGTGTATCACGCATGACACAAAACTGACGAACTGACCCTTTGGGAAAGATATGAATCCTCTTCTTCTCCCCTCCGCAGGGTAAAATAGCAGTACAGACCGGGTTCTATAGCCTTGGATAGCAACTGGACTATCGCAGAAAGAAATGGCTACCTCGTCTGCAGACACTTTCTCACAGACGCGCCGGCACCTGTCTCTGTCTGTTTTACAAATACTTTCAATGCAATTGCTCCGAGGAGCTGCATTCGCTGGTTCCCAGTCTTCATGAGTTCAAACGCCCGACGAGGCTGGCATCCCGCTCTCACCCCTTCACTGTCGAAACTCCTAAATGTAGCCGTCTCTTCTACTCCAATAGCTTCATGTCTCGCACCTCTCGCCTGTGGAACTCCCTTCCCTATTCTAGTTTCCCTGAGAGCTATAATCTCCAGCTATTCAAGTGTAATGTCAATCGACATCTCCAGTTGCCTTGATCTATCCACTACCCTTCTCATCCTTTCTTCTATCACTCCTATCTGATCTTGCTCCAAATTTTCTGTAACCTCTTGCGTCCTAGTGGATTCCCGCTTTGCTTGGGGTGAAATGCTTAAAAAAAAAAAAACAACAAAAAACAACTGCGGGAAAAAAAATCTGCGTCGTCAGTCATGTATCGAAAGATACATGATCGCTTAAGCGTGTAAGACGCATGGCACATAACTGACTGACTGACCCTTGGGAAAGATATGAATTCTCTTCTTCTCCCCCTCCGCAGCTATGGGTAAATAGCAGGACAGACCGGGTTTTATAGCTTTGGATGGTAACTGGTCTACCGCAGAAAGAAATGGCAGCCTACTGCAGGAAAAAAATCTGCATCGTCCGTCATGTATCGAAAGATACATGATCACCTAAGCTTGTATCACGCATGGCACATAGATGACTGACTGATCCTTGGGAAAAGTATGAATCCTCTTCTTCGCCCCCTTGAAAAAATCTGCCTTGTCATTTATGCATCGAAAGATACATGATCGCCTAATCGTGTATCACGCATGGCATATAAGTGACTAACATATTTATCGTAGATAATGACAACAAAAAATTTATAGTAAAATCCATTTCATCTGTTGTTGAATCTGTGTTGAAAATGTTTAGATTCCATCTTTAAATAATCCATAAAAATAGTTATGCCGCTAAACAAAATCAAATAAAGCCAATATTTCGAAACAATATCCTTCGTATTGATTCAGATTCTTGAAAAAGAAATAATGCAACAAATATTCGGCAAACTTGGACCTTCGGTGTGAAGGTCCAAGTTTACCGAATATTTGTTGCATTATTTATGAAAAAAAAAAAAACAAAACAAAAAAAAACAGACTGTCAAAAGAACGTTTTTTCCTAGACACTGCTATTATTTTGAGTACCTTCATTCCTCAGCAATGATTTAAACACGATGATCAGAACTGTAATAACACCTGAACATATGAAACTGAATTTCTATATTTTCTTCTCGAGAATTTACAATAAAAGTAGTAAAGTAAACACTATTTATTTATTATATTATTCATTGGAACTGGTTCGAACTTTATAAAATGGTAATACTAAATAATAGCTTAGCAAACTATCATTTTTTAGAAGAAGTGTATCGCTACTCCGACATCCTGAGCTTAATCTTCGAGGTCAGATGCAAGCCAAAATAAGGTAGTCGATTTTGATTGGCTGAACTAGCGTGGGGATAATAGACAGAGAAAAGCTTTTCAGAGAGTCGAGTCTTAATTGTCAAGCAATGTAGACCTGTTTTCTTTTGTGTCTGAAACAGATCCTCGGTTAGGGGAACAAACCCCACTGGGTAGATAGAGCATATCGACATCAATGTTAATAAGTTAAAATTCTCTGTGTTGAAGTTCTTTTATCTCTGGACTCAAAACAACTCTAGCGCTCGTCGTCCGCGAGAAAGGATGCAACTTTATTATCGAATTAACGCCGTCGCCGAAGACCACCACCACCACCAGTAAATAATAAGGATTTCCTCATAGTTAATTTTAATAATTTAGTAAACGTTTATAAATTTATGAAATAAAACTTGTTCTCATATTTATTTCTTCATAAATTGGTAAATGAGAAATATTGAAGTGCTAGTTTTAATTGTATTAGATTTTAGAATGTTGCAAATATAAAATTACTCTTGTAAATAAACAATCAAATAAATAAAAAAATGTTTGATATTTTTCTTGTAAATTCTCAAGAACAAAAAATGTGTAAATTCAATTTCATATATTTCAGTTCTGTATCTGTCTATATTTCTGATTATTTACATTATGCGGACTATTGTCCTCATCTTGGTCGCCATATTTATTACAACGTTTCGGTCGTTGTACGCTCCGGCATTCTTCAGGTGGTTGGAATGTCGAACTGAACCCTTTATTTCGCTCACTGGGGTAGACTGTTCTAGTTCCACGTGGCATGTTTTAATGGATGTCAGTTATCAGTTATCTCCTGCTAATTCCCCTCTGAAAGTTCTCCACTGCCTTAACAGGGTATTGAACTCACACTCTTTGGGTCCTGTCACTGGTCACTTTATCCACTGTGCCATTGAGGACATCTGTTTATGAATTTCTAGGTATTATAAACCTTATGTCTTCAGCACCTATTTTTACCAGAGCTCATATTGAATTTTTTTTGTTATTATCGCTTTTCTCTGGCACTCCTTATTCCTGGTTCCCATATTGGATTCATTTCTATGCTTGGTCGGCTCAGGAGATTTTTGTGGCCTAGCATATATGCTGATTCCTTACGAATTTTCCAATGGTGTTCTTTGTCAATGATCTCAACCTGATCCCACAGAGGACGGTGATCTCTCTTCTCTCTCCATATGTGGTCAGCCACACCTGATTTTTTCACTTCCCCTCGTGTTACAGCTTTCTGATGTTCTGGAAGCCTTACCTAAACGGGGGCGGCCTGTCTCCCCTTTATATTTCATTCCGCAGGTGCACGGGATAGCGTACACACAGTCTTTAGTCATGTTCTCCTCTATGGTGAGGGGGTCTTACTCGGGAGAGATATCTGCGAAGTGTCGTCAAGCTTTTGAAGGTTGTCCTGATGTTATATAGATTTCAGTTTTATTACAATTGTTATCAATCGCTTTTTAAAACAAACATTGTCGAGGAGCGAAGGTAGTTAAAATAATAGCAGTGTCAAGGGAAAAACCGCTCTTTTGACACTCCGTTTTATTTGCGGGTACAAATTTTGCCGAATATTCCCTTTAAACCGCAAGACATATCTTACTTTTTTCCTACACATACAGAGATATCTCCGTAAAAAATAACAATCCTAGGCTGTTTTTTTTAAAAATCATTCCTTTGTTTTACAATGATGTTCACCCTATTCAAGGCGCAAGAGCTACTCGTGGTAGAGCTTTAGAAAGGAACAGTTTATGGGGATATGTGGGGAAGATAATCATCTTTTTGGTTCTTTACAAAAACGGTTTGTTATTTTCTATTCATCTACCTGAAAAAAGGCCCCCGACTCTCTGTAAAAATATAACAATTCCTCTGACTTTTACAGGCTTACGGCCGTATCACATTGGAACACCGGTTCCCGTACGTCGTGCCTGTTCAATACTTAGATGGTTAACCGCTTGGGTATACCAGGTGCTGTTAGCTTGGGTGTGCGGATGGTGCAATGGTTAATGGCTCGGACTTGTTAATTGGATGGCGGAGTTCTAATTCCCATTGGCTTCGTTCTATTCAATTACGAGCAAATACCCTTGAGAAAAGTATGAATCCACCTCTTGTCCATCCCTAAACAGCTATTAAGAAGTATATCACTAAACTATTATTATCTTCAAAAAAATTATTAAAATCTATAAAATACTGTCTGACTTTAAATAACCTGCAAGGGGTTGATAAACCGTAAAAAATGAAGCAATAAGATAAATGAAATAATAATACGTGGGAAGAGATCAATATTTTTTTTGAAACACCAAGACATATTTTTTTTTGTTTTACTATGATGTTTATCATGTTTAAGGCCCAAGACCCACTCCAGGTAGAGGGTGACAGAGCAAGAGGCACAGTTTATAGGGGTATGTGGGAAAGATATAAATTGACCCTAGACTTGAACGGGTTAAGTTTATAGTGATTCTAGAAGAATCCTCTTGAGAGATAGCTCCACAACGCAGCAGTTTCTAATTTGTCTGCTTTTCTACGTGAATAGAGTCCTCTCTCTGCCTATAAGAACGCCTCTGGCACGTTCAAAACACTCCCTTCATTCCCTAAGACATATTTTTTGCCTACACGTTTATAAAAAATAACAATTCCAATGAATTTTTCAGATCATTCCCTTTAACACCAGAAACATGTTTGTCTTTTTTTTTCCAATGTGAAGAGAGTTCTCCGACTGCCTGTAAAAATAAAAGAATTCCTTCGACTTCTTCAAGGTATTCTCGTGAACCTCCAAGACATATTTCGTGCGAAGAGAGATCTTCCGCGAACAGTTTTCCCTCTGGAAAAATAACAATTCCAATGGATTTTTGGTGCGATTGATTCCTCTCGAGCGTAAAGAGGGGAATCTATCTATCTATCTATCTATCTATCTATCTATCTATCTATCTATCTATCTCAGCCTGTTCATATCTATCTATCTATCTATCTATCTATCTATCTATCTATCTGATCAGTCTCTTCATATCTATCTGCATATCTGTCTATGTGAAAATTTCCGTTTTTTCATTATCTATCTATCTATCTATCTATCTATCTATCTCGATCTCTTCATATCTATCTATCTCAAATATATGCCGTATCTATCTATCTATCTATCTATCTATCTATCTATCTATCTATCTATCTGATCAGTCTCTTCATGTAACTTCCAAGATAAAATAATAATCAAGAACCTGATGTTCCACACTACAAATAAAAATTGTACATTATAGAAGGCGCTTATCTACTTTTGCTGAAGATACGTCACAAGGGTCACGCGTGAGACATCTTAGTGACGTCTCTCGATACAGTGTCCACAGCTGTAGTCAAATTCAGTTTAATTACAGCAGCCAAACAGAGAGGTTGCTTTTTTAATACCGCCGCCATGGCTCGGGCAGAGGCTAAATCTGCCCCCACCAGCAGCTTACGAGTCCATGATACCGTTTCCATATGGGAATATATCTTTCCCTGATACAGAAAGAAAATCCAGCTCGTAGTCTTCAGGCTCGCTGTTTCTTGTTCTTAGAATATATCCTCGCCTAGGACATGAATCCGTCCTGTTTGAATCTGTAAAGAACCTTCCATTTTTTTCTCCTTAGACTCTGTGAAGATATATGTGATATATTATACTCCGTATATATTTTTGTGTATGTCTTAGTAGTATAAAAGTCTCTCTGAGAACGAAGCAGGTTTGTCATTCCTTTTCTTTTTTGCCATTTCATCTGAAATATGGTATTATTATAACACATATATAATAATATCCCATAATGGGGGAGGGAATACAAATGGGAGAATAAACCTTTCTACCATAGCGCTCCTGTTATATCTACAACAAACTATCCTAAGAAAATGTGCACCTGTTCTTTCCAAACTATGTATAGATACAAAAGGCAATTATCTCCCCTTTGGTGGAGATAATTCACATGGGTCACATGACAGCTGCTTCATACAGTGACAAAGGTGACCAGTCATTCAGTTAGTTTACAGAAACCAAACTGAGTGTTTGCTTATTTAGCCTAGGCCAAGGCCCTGGGCTGAGGCTAAATCTGCCTCACCCAGCAGCTTACAAGTACATGGCACAGTTTCCCTTTGGGAATATATATCTTCCCAGATACAGAAAGAACCTTTGGCTGACAGCCCACAATTTGAGAAAACCCTCAACTCACCGTTTCCCGTTTTTGGAATATGTCCTCACATGAGAGACAGACAAATCTAGCCTGATTGAATCTAGAGTCCTAAACATGGCTTCTCCAGAAATATAGAAGAATCTCCAAATTATATATAAGACATTATTTTTTTGTTCTTTCACCCTTCTTCATTGTAGATATAAGATATATTCTATACATTTGTATATATAATTTTGTGTATGTTTTAGTGATATAAAAGTCTTCCTGAGAACGAAGCAGCCTTGTCATTCCTTTTCCTTTTTGCCATTTCATCTGAAATATGGTATTATTATATCACATATATAATAATAGCCCATAATGGAGGAGGGAATAGAAATGGGAGAATGAACCTTTCTACTATAACTCTGTTATATCTACAACAAATACCTTGCAGCTTCTTATTTTCCAGATTCTGCAGCACCTGTCTTTAAGAACACTGGTGAACTTTCTGATTCCTTGAATTATTATCCTATTAGTCTATTACCTCTTTTTAGCAAAATACTAGAAGCGCTAATCAACTTCAAAATGATTAAGCATCCCACTGCCTTCTTTCAACAAAACGAGAGAGAGAGAGAGAGAGAGAGAGGGAGGGAAGAGAGAGAGAGAGGGAAGAGAGAAGAGAGAGAGAGAGGGAAGAGAGAGAGAGAGGGAAGAGAGAGAGAGAGGGAAAAGAGAGAGAGAGGGAAGAGAGAGAGAGAAGAGAGAGGGGAGGGAAGAGAGAGAGAGAGGGAAGAGAGGAGAGAGAGGGAGAGAGAGAGAGGGGGGAGAGGAGAGAGAGTAAAGAGAGGAGAGAGAGGAGAGAGGGGGAAGAGAGGAGAGAGGGAGGGAAGAGAGGAGAGAGGGAGGAAGAGGAGAGAGGGAAGAGAGGAGAGAGAGAGAGGGAAGAGAGGAGAGGAGAGGGAAGAGAGGAGAGAGGGAAGAGAGGAGAGAGAGAGAGGGAAGAGAGGAGAGAGAGAGAGAGAGAGAGAGAAGAGAGGAGAGAAAGAGAAAAAGGAGAAAATGATGAAAAGGAGAATACCCATGACATTTGACAAAAAACTAATACCAATAATAAAGATCACCGCTGATTATTTCATCAAACTTAGTATAAAGAACATATGAAATGAAATAAGTGGTAGTTGATTTCTGAAACCACCTGAACAGTGGATTGAACAATTACCAAAAAGTCCATCTACAAAACTCAAGAGTCGAGGTGCAGATGATGAATATAGTATCAATCAGCTAAGTGACAAATTAAATTTATTTGCATTAATCATGTGTGTAGATAAATTCAAAAAAATCCCAGTTCAAGACAAGAACAACTATTTGGTCACATTAATCAGTAAAGTTGAAGATTTACTAGTAAGGAATGGAAAGTTTTATTGTTTATGTATGAACACCAACATAACTATAGCAGTGTTCAATACTATAATTTCTCAACTCATAAACAATCAACTTCCAGTTACTGCACTAGCTAGCAGGTTTTGAAAAAGATGATCGACATAATGAAGTTTCAGGATAAATTAATAGAAGACTTCAAACTAATCAAGTCTCTGAAAGGGGAGAAATCATCAAAATTATATAAATTAAACCATGAAGCATACAAATGCCATGCATAATGAAAGAGTATTTATATAATTATCAGGAGCTTTCTTGAGAAGAATTCTGAGGCAAGAGAAATTCCTATAGCTTTAAAAATTAAGGCCGACTTTGAGGAGAGGCCTGTAGGCTATTGAACCCATCAAAGACAGAACAGGAAGGGCAAAAGTCAGCAAAAGGATAATCCAAGAAGATGTGCAACATCCTTAGGATACCTACAAAAAGGTAAACCTGGCAATTTACTAGAAGCTCTAATCAACTTCAAAATGATTAAGCATCTCACTGCCTTCATTCAAGGAAAACCCAAGACTCGATGTTTCCCATTCATGGAATATGTCCTGCCCTCGACATAGATAAATCCATTTGAATCTTATATGTAAGAAGTCAGATTCAGTATTTTACAGCAGCCAAAGCAAAAGGTTGCCATTTTCCTTTGGGAAAATATTTTTCTCTGATATAGAAAGAAACTCCAATTCTCAGTCATCAATTTGGGAAAACCCAAGACTTGCAGTTTCGTGCTCATGGAATATGTACTCGCCAGGGACATAGATGAATCCAGCCTGTTTGAATTTGGAGTCCTAAACATGACTTCTCCAAACACAGGAGTATCGCCATATTATATGTAAGACCCTTTTTTTGTTTCTCCTTCCACTTTGCTTTGCTGTGTAGATATATGTGATATATTACTCTCTGCATGGGACATGTGTATATATGTGTATATATATATTGTTTTGTGTAGGTCTTAGTGATATAAAAATCTCTCTGAGAACAAAGCTATAATAATGCCCATAATGGGGGAAGTACAAATGGGAGAATAAACCTTTCTTCCATAGCTCTCTCCTGTTATAATGATGTCAGTGGATAGAGTGACGATGGGCTGTTGTGATGTAGGGCCCGCAGAAGGACGTTCTTAGCCCACAGCGGTAGGTCTTACAGGAACCCCCCCCACACACAAAAAAACCCACAGTACCTTATCGTGTCCATATAGAATCCGCCGTAACTCCAGTTTCCCCTTCGAGAAATATTACAAAAAAGGTTCTCTTTTTTTACACACCGTTTGTGGTTGCATATATGTTATAATTTTTCTGGGACACGTGTACACACACACATATATATATATATATATATAATTTTGTGTACGACGTAGCATTATAAAGCCCTCTCTCTGAGAACAAAGCATATTTGTCATTATTTTTCTTTTCTGCTGTTCTGTTCCGTCCGTGAAGTACAGTGTTATTATATCACGGATATAATAATAGCCCATAATGAAGGAAACACAAATGAGAGAATAAACCTTTCTTCCATATCTCTCTCTTGTAATAATGATGTTGTTCAATGTTTTATAATATCGTTGTTCGTCTAATGTGTATGGATGTTATTTTTCCATTTGGTATTGATGGCAAAACCATTTCGATAATATTTATTGTCTTTTACCAAAGCAATTAACTTATGTTGCCTAAACTCCGACAATAATATCAAGTCCTTATTTGGTTTGGCTTTCTTGGAGACACCGTACATCAATGTTATATCTATCAATGTCCTGAGCCAAAGATTTTCTCTTTTCTTTTTTCACAATTCCTTTAAAACTAAATGTCCCGATGGCAAAATCTTTATAAAGATTTAAATAAGAAATTACAATCTTTTGTCTATCATTATCCCATATATATATATATATATATATATATATATATATATATATATATATATAAATATTATATATCTATCATTAACCCATATATATATATATATATATATATATATTTGGTTGATTGATGTGAGTTTGTGTCCCTGGGTTTCACGCTTTTGCGATCGTCAGACAAACTGATTAACTTTTAAAAATTTTTAGGTTTATGAGATACACAGACACACTTGCTCGTCCGCAGACAAATGCGTATGTATCGACACAACACCACCCATATACATACTGTCCACATATGTCTATAACTATATGAGTTCCGGCGGACGAGCAAGTGTGTATGTCTGTCTGCGTACCTCATCGGATGTACGGATATGCATCTATGTTTGCATAAGCATGAGTGACAACACGACGACGATTCCCTCCACTTCCATAATAACACCATTACACGAAATCTAGATATACCCAATATTTTAAAAAATTAATCAGTTTGTCTGACGGTCGCAAAAGCGTGAAACCCAGGGTCACAAACTCACATCAATCCAACCAAATATATTAGCTCTATCTCTGATATTGAGCGCTTTCTAATAAGTACCGCGTATATAATATATAAATAATTATATATATAGATAGATATTTATATTTACACACACACACACACACACACACACACACACACACACACACATATATATATATATAAATTTACATCTTTCTTTCCCCCACTCTCTTAATATGAAATCAGTTTTGTGTAGGTCTTAGTGATATAAAAGTCTCTCTATTCTATTCAGTCTTTGAAATATTAATGTTATTATATCATAATGCCCATAATGGGGGAAATATGAATGGGAGAATAAACCTCTCTTCCATACCTCTCTCCCGCTACAGCAGTATTTAAAAGAGACGAATTGCTAGATACAGCGATAATAAGACTGAATAATGAAACAGTTTAGTAAAATGATTTGGAAAGTCGTGTACAATCAATTATTGTATGTAAGACCTTTCTTTTTGTTTCTCCTTACACTCTGCTTTCCTGTATAGATATATGTGATATAATTTCTCCTCGTAGGACATGTATATACATGTATATATAAATTTGTGTACGGCTTAAAGATAAAAAAAAGTCTTTCTGAGAAGAAAACATGTTGTTATTACTTTTCTTTTCAGCCGTTTCTTTCCGTCTGTGAAGCACGGTGTTATTGCATCACGGATATAATAATTGCCCATAATGGGGGAATTACAAATGAGAGAATAATTTTTTTCTACTTTGGCTCTCTCCCGTTGCAAAAGGTTATGATAGGAACTAGTATGAATACTGGAAAGAGTGATAACAGCTAATGGACTTGAAAAATTATTTTCATGACAAAAAAAAAAAAAAAAAAAAGAGAAAGATTTTATAAATTTCAACCGACAGCAGTAATGGCTGCTCGATCAATGAATGCCAAATGTTTCCTTATAAGAAACCGGCTACTATTACCATTAACATTTATGTCTTCGGCTGCCTATCTCTGGAGTCTTTGCGCCTATGTTACCATTCATAGAATCGCCAATGCTGGTCAAAAACACAAGATTAATTTACCGCATATCATCATAATCCAAATTTAATAGCACTTTGAATAATCTTAGCAAAAAAGCTGATGTTAGCCCTCTGCTTCAGATCTTTTTCAATCATTTTCTGCGAACAGGATAACATAAACACATACAATATCCTCTACTGCTCGGCAACGAATGATTTTCTCTACTGCAGGTGGAATTTGAAAGATGTCCAGGCGTACTTAGGCAAAAATGTTTTCATGCCTGGAATTAAATTATCACACTTCAGAAATCATGAAGCCATACCTTGGTTGAGATTTCTAATATAAAATTGACTGAATAATCGCATGTATAGATAAGGCGTTTGACATAGAGTGTTGTTTGATGATCAGGTATGGAGGAGATTTCTCGTTTCTTCGGACTGCATCTCGTGTCCGAATATTATGGCCTTGTGCCAGACGAGGCTAAACTTTTTTTTTTTTAAATGATTGCACGCCATCTCACGATAATATTTTAAAGCCGTTATTTCTCTTGAATATGTGCTACCAAATAAAAAGGTTACGAACTATTCGTAAGAGGTTTTCAGACACGGGCATCCAAATTTTACCCTCGCTTAAATTATCTGAAAAGAATACAAAAAAAAAAAATACAAAAGTAAAAGAAAAACAAGAAACAAACAAGCACAAAACAAAACAAGCCTCTTATACGGACATGACAGGCGGAGAGAAACGTGTAGTCGATTAAAACTAAGAAGGCGCTTAGTGTTTACAATAATCCTTATACCTTGAAACATTTTCACTTAACCTAGCTTCGTTCTTAGTCAGGTATTAGGCCGAATAGGTGAAAGATTATTGCGTAGGGTCTATCCTCCAAATATGGAGGTAGTCTTATTTGAGAATCAAAATTGGTAATTTAAAAAAAAAAAAATTGTCGCTTTTGTTATGTGGAACCACATTACAGAAAGATAGAAAAATGCAATAGATTTAATTTGTTTTCAATTTTAAACTAAAAAAAACCCAAAAATCAAGTTCTTTTTTAATGCTCGGACCGGCCTCAAAAATTTGAATTTTTATATTCATATATATTAACCAATCCACAACGTCATATGAGGCAAGCGGTATTCTTTGGATTTGAAAACAATAAATATTTGTTGTTTGCAACGAAAAGTTGGAAGATCACTTCAGATTTTGCCTCCTTAAAAAGGATATTTAAAAAATTGGGAAAATATTTATTAACCAATAAACTTGTGATTAATAAATCTAATTTTTCTTTTTATAAAAAACTGAAATTC